TTATATTATATTGTAAATAAAACTATAAAATACGGTTAAAAAAACAATAACAAAAATAGTTTTGAAAATTTCGTTACACCAGTGGAAAAAATTTTATCAGAAAAATTATTACCTGTATTGTTTGGAACTGATTGTTCTATAATCAAAGAAAATAGAGATTTATTGACGCGCTAAATCCATCGGAAGGAGGACTTGGAATTTGTAACTTAATAACTGAGGCCAAGGAACAGCATACTGCCTCTAAGAAAATAACTATCTAGCACATAAAATCAATACTCGATCAGTCAGATGTTATGAAAGAAAAAGATGATTTCGGGAAAACATTTTCAGAAATAAAAACAAAAACAAACATGGATAAATCTAAAAAAAAAAGAGAAGAGGTTAAAAAAATACATGCAGGACTTCCAGAAAACCTTAAACAGGCCTGTGACAAAGGTGCCAGCAGCTGGTTAAACACCTTACCAATTAAAGAACAACATCTAGATCGGAATAAGGAAGAGTTTAAAGACCCACTTAGATTGAGATATAATGTGCCACTTGCTAATTTACCATCCTACTGTGCTTGTGGAGAAAAATTTGACGAGCTACACGCAATGTCATGCAAAAAAGGTGGCTTTGTTTGTAACAGACATGATAACATCAGAGATTTATTAACTGTTTGCCTAAATAAAGTTTGTACTGATGGTCAAGCGGAGCCGCATTTAATTCGATTGACAAATGAAAAATTTAATTTTAAAACTGCCAATACCAACGACGAAGCTAGATTGGATATAAAAGCAAAAGGGTTTTGGAGAAAAGGAGAAACTGCATTTTTTGATGTTAGAGTAACGCACGTAAACTCCAAATCCTCCAAAAAACAACCAGCAAAACACATATTCCGTAAGCATGAAGATGCAAAAAAACGTGAGTATTTAGAACGAGTTCTAGAGGTTGAACACGGGACATTTACCCCATTAATTTTTCGTGCAAATGGTGGGTTTGGAGACGAATGCAAACGCTTCACGGCACTACTCGCACAAAAACTGTCCTTAAAAATGGTTGAGCAGTACGGAGCTGTTATAAATTGGCTAAGGACACGTCTTTCCAAGGAGATTACTAGAGCCTCCCTACTCTGCTTTAGAGGGTCACGAACCCCATTTAGGCATTATAACACTGACGATGTTAGCCTGGAAAATGTGCAATGTAGACTTATTTAACTTGAATTTTTAAATTGTTTTATTAGTTTAATTATTGAAAGAGTTTATCAAAATGTATTGCGCACACGCTTTAGAATGATTAACGAGGGTGTGGTAAAATAGCTGTAAAACTTTAAATTTCCTTATTACCTTGATATTATGTATTTTAATTTATTACTTTATTTAAATAAAAAGTATAATGTTAATAAAATGGTTTATTTCAAATAACAAAAATAGTTTTATTACTTTTATGAATTTCCTAAACAAAGACCGCCATACGTTAAACGCGATTTTATTACAGAATAGTGTGAATAATAAATCATTTTGTTGCTGATTGTTTTATGAATGTTATCTTTCGAGTGTACAGGGTAAGTTGTTTTTTTTCGAGTGTACAGGGTAAGTTGTTTTTTTTTCGAGTGTACAGGGTAAGTTGTTATCTTTCGAGTGTACAGGATTCTTGTATTTTTAGCTCAAAGTTTCAAAAAAATGTCTCACCCACCAGGTTGAGTAACTAAGACAAATTTTTGATGCTGTGATAAAAAGGAAACTCAAAACGTCAGCGCTAGAGAAAATACTTATTTGCTATAAGTTTTAATTACATTTTCGAATGACTTCTAATTGTTCGTAGTAAATATGACTCTGTCTCTGCTTTAACACTCAAAATTAAAGCCATGAAATTTGCTAAGAAAATAAAGGTTGAAAACTTTCATGTTTTAGATGGTTGGTTAAATTTTTTTAAAATCGCAGCCAAAAGAGGACACGCTATTTGAGGAAAGAGTTTTCTGAAATTTATTGGCTGTTTTCGAAAGAAGGACGATAGATTGTCTTATTAGTTGATTATTTTTCAGCTCATTCATTAATAACAGTACAGTTAATATTTTTACGTCCAAACTCTACCTCAAAGCTGCAGTCGATAGATTGGGGCGTAATTATTTCCACTTAAAGCATATTATACAATATTGTCTGTTCAAGAATTGATAGATGCAATAGATTAAAAAAAAACCCTTTATGAAACTCTCTATAGAAATGCTTGATGCTGCTTTGCGGAGGACGAAGAACAAAACTATTGGAAAATAGTTTGCTAAAGCTGGAGTTTCTGAGAGAATGTATTCTGACGCCTAGGTAAATGCGAATAAATCATTCGCATGTAACTTTAGGGTTGTAAAGTACCAGTTATTTATTTATATTAGGTCTTCCCTGAAAGTTAAAAAAACGAAATGTGTAATGCTCAGGGAAGATTTTGTAAACATTGCCGAGCCGATAATGACGTTCAACGACGACAGGGAATCTTTTTATAATTGTATAAACAAAAAAAACTTAATTGAGGAGCAAGAACTATTAGAAAAGTTTAAATAAGCAGATATATGTAACAATTTTTCACACATATTGTAGCAGCTGTTGTGCAATGGCTAGAGCGCTTGCTTTAAAAGCAAGTGATTCGTTTGAAATAAGTTCTTGAGGTATTTTTCGCCACTCGTGAGGAAAGAGACACGAAATTCCTAGTCAAAAATTTTTTTGCAGGAGCACCTAAAACAAGTGTATTGAAAAAAAAATTAGTATAGTTGTAAATACTTAATGTTTACATTTTAGAATTGCTTAAAGAAAATTTGGCTGAACCCTGATAACACCTCATATTTTAAAAAGTTCAAATTGACCAGACATCGCTTAAATTAAATATTTTTTAAGACTTAAATAGTTTAACTATTTTTCTTTTTTCCTCAAAGGTTCAAGTTACCGTTATTCAACTGTAACTGTTTTTAGTGAATTTTTAAATCCTTAAAAATGTATTTATCTAGTTTAAAAAGTTATAAATAATATTTTTAAAAACCAATTTCTCTCATATTTTGGCGAGTAATGTGTAACTTTAAGGATGTTTTTGTTTCCATGCTCTAAAGGGCAAATATTCTTATAAGACATAATTATAAACATTCAAAAGTTTGGACTTTAGAACTTAATTGAAAGTTACGAATCTGAAATACCAAAAACTTCTGAATCCGCCTCTGAGCAGTTTATTAAATTGATTAAAAACCTTTAAAAAAAACTTTAAAAACCTTAACAAATTTGCATTTTCCTCACAAAATTTTTCTTTTAAATTAATTTTGCTATTTAAACCTAAAGTAATTTATTTTTTATTTATGCATGCAAGTTGGTGAATTATCTTAAATCCAACTTATATTTCTCAAAAAAAATATTTTTAAATAAAAATTTTTAGTTATGTTCAAATAAAAGAATGAATATGTTTTATAAAAACATTTTTATAAATAACAGGGTAGGGTAACTTCGAAAATACTTAAAAAATTTGGAAAATAAATTAACAATTTTAAAGTAACAAAAAAAAAAAAAAAAAAAAATGTTGATAAGAGCATAGACCGGGAAGCGCTGACAACAGCAATCACGGGCAAGTGTTGATCACAGCATACACCTCCTTGCGTTATATGATTCTTACGCATCTTTTACGTCTGTATTTGCGTGACACAAATTTTTAGAGTAACGTTGATGATTCATCAATAACTCGTATTTTTAAACGTCATTCATAAAATAAAAAAGTTCGCTAAAAGAGTCTTTTTAAATTGCAAACGACAATTTGAAGTATAATTCTTTTCCATGTCTTGTATATTAGTGAAAACCACTAGCTATTTTCAACTGCAAAGTTTTCAATTCCATTAATTTCACAGAATGTTTTATTATTTTTAGGTAATTTATACGTTTTGTAAGCCAAAAAAAATAAAACACACGAAAGTGTCTTCACACTAAACGTGACCAGGAAAATGTACAACCTAAATGTAAATAAATTTAAAAATTTAAATAAAAAATTATTTATTGCAAACAAGTTGCAAATATTATGTTATAATATTTTACAAAACATTACTAACTTTGTAACCAAAACTAAAATTAATTACTAAGTTTGTTACCAAAACTAAAATTAATTTTTAGGAGAGATAGAAAATGAATCTGAACCGAACAAAAACCTTACAAATATTCGAACCGGATGGAACCTGAACAATAATTATTACCAAACCCGAAATTAGAAACTGTTGGGTACAAAACCGTCTTACCCTAACTAAATCAAAAAGAGATTTTCAGTAGTATTGTAATTTACACATTACAAAAAAATGTACAACGCATAACACAATTAACCAAAACGAAAATGATGTTTGTAAACATTATTAATACTGAGAAGTTGCTACTGTTCGATTTTTTATTTTATTTTTTATTTTAATACTTAAACAAATGTAAAGTACAATAGCAGAAATTATTGTCTGTTAAGTAAGTGTGCCAGATTATTTGAACTTTGTTAGTCTAAGACTGGCATTGCCGTAAAAGCAAAGACAACTGAAATACTTAAAAAACATTTTACTCAGACTATAACGAATGACAGTTGGGTATTTGCTACTGATAATGAAAGTAATATAAAGTCGGCTTATTGCAACGATGTTAAACTTATATGTGCAAGTCATAATCTGAACTTAGCTGTTTAAAAAGCTTTGAAACTCCCAGGTGCTAGTTCATTTAGATATGATCAAAAATCCAAAGAAAATGGTGGGCTACTTTAAACATAGTTGAAAAACCAGGAATTAGGTATCTCTCAGACAGAATGTTTCTACTCGTTGAAACAGTCAATTTTTTTGTAACCATTGTTGTGCCAGTTAGATCATGTCAAGGGCACACTGTTTAACAAACTTAAACAACTGAACAACGTTAATGAAAATTTTTTGTATGATGTCGTTGAACTTTTGCATCCTTTTCACATAGCTACTATGCATTTATCACATGCCATTGTGCCAACATCCCCATGATGTATGGCCAATGCTATTACGTTATTATATTATTCATCCTCTGCACAATGTTTCAACATCCGTTACTAAACAGACAGTTGGCTTTTGAAGCTGTTGTTATTTGTATTAAGTAAGTTACTGCTTTTTTATTTTGAATACTTTGGCTGTTTTGGTTTTTAAAATTTTGAAGTAGCTAAAACATTTTAAGTTGTTTGTATTTTATCATTATGAATGTATATGTTTGTAATGCGTATGTTTGTAACTAGTAAATAAACAGTTGCATTGGTACTTTTTATTTAGTTTTGATATCATCTAAATTCATAAAACTGAACCGAACCCGAGACTTTAGTTGTTTCCAAACCGAACCCGAACTTTAGTTGTTACCAAATTAAACAAGACCCGAAGTGTGTTTATAGGCGACCAAAATAAACCCGATCTTTACAAGAAAAGTTTTAATTCTTATCTCTACTTTTTAGTTCGAATAAAATTTGTTGACTAACTTTTTAGTTCGACTAACTTTTTAGTTGACTAAAATTATTCAACTAAACTTTTAGTTCAACAAAATATTTAGTTCGACTAAAGTAGTCAACTAATCTTTTAGTTCGACTAAAAAATTAAAAAAACTTCTATTTAACTATTAGTCGACAAACTTTTTAGTTAAACTAAAAAATATTTTATGACTTTTATGTAATAATCAGTTAAAAAACATTAAGTGACGAAATAGTTTTAGTCAAACTAAAAAGTCGACTGATATTAGTTAAACTTAAATTAATTTTAGTTCCCTAAACATTATAACACATTCAAATGAGATTTTAATTCACAATCAACTAACTTTAAATTCCCTAAACATAACAACACATTCAAATGTCATTTTAATTCACAATCAACTAACTTTAATTCCCGTCCATAAACATTACAACACACTCAAATGTCATTTTATTTCACAATCAAATAACTTTCATTGCCGTCCCTAAACATTACAACATATTCAAATATCATTTTAGTTCACAATCAACTGGTTTGATTATGAATTCAGTTAAAATACTTAAAATAACAAATAAATTAGACTTATATTTAATTGATTTGTTTCTAAAACCAATTATTATTTCATCGAGTTTTATAATTGGTGATAATTTTTTTATAAATGGTGATAATTTTTCGGAGAACAAAGTTTGTATTTAAAAAATGCTCAAGTTTTACCCCCCTCTTATTTTGATGAGGCTGTAAACTTTACACGGTAAAGCTTTTTAAAAGCCTAAATATTTTTGTGAAACTTTAAATATATATATATATATATATATATATATATATATATATATATATATATATATATATATATATATATATATATATATATTATATATATATATATATATATATATATATGTATTTATATACTGAAATCTTGTTCAAGAAAATAAATATTTATTTGGAATTAAAAATTCCCCCCTCTCACATTTAAGTGTTGTTTAATTTTTAGATTGTTTTTGTTTTCATTGTCTAATCAGCACATTTTTGGGCATAAAACTCTTTTTTATATAACTAATAAATGTTTCAATAGTGCGATCATAAAAAAGTTTGAAATTTAAAACTTATCTGAAAGCTCCTTAGCTTAGCAAAAAATCCTGGATCCGACTCTACATGTTTAGAAAAGAAAAAAGATTATGTATGTAAAAAGAATTACCTAAAGTACTTGTTACTGTATTCTAAACAATTTGTGTTTTCTCCTGTGCACTCGTTACTATTCCACGTTAAACAGCTTGCATCAATAATCCTTCCAAATACAGCAGACGATGGTATCATGCCCAAAAAACGCAAAAAAACTTGTTGAAATCCTATACCTAGTGATCCCAAACTAAGTGGTAACGTCCTATAAATAATAGTGCGCCCTGTAATAAAACTTAAAAGGACCGTACTAAATCATAATAAAAAATATAAGACAAAAATAATATTTAATTGCAATTTATAAATAAATAAATCTTGAACGATTTCATTTTTACCAAAATGTTGCGTTAACGAGAGGCACTGCATTCATAAAAGATACAAACAATAAGAAAAATGATCCAACCACAAAGTATGGGTAAAGTGTGCATTTTGATATACATGGACCATCAACTAGTGTTTCGTCTAAAAACGATGAACATGCGCAGTTGTGGTATGTCTAAATTAATCATTATTATTTGTCAATTTTTAAATTAAAAATGATAAAATGTTGTTATTTAATAAAACCAGTTCTTTGTGTGTGTATATGTTGCACATTTTAAGTTTATTTAAAAGATTGGTTTAATGGGATAGTTTTATAAAATAGTGTTAACATTTTGAAATAAAATACATCTTAAAAGATTTCATTTTTACCAAAATATTGCATTAATAAGAGGCACTGCATTCATATATAATACAAAAAATAAGAAAAGTGATCCAAACACAGAGTATGGGTAAAGTGTTCCTTTTGAAGTACATGGGCCATTAACACAATGGTGTTTCACTTACACCAATGTACAATTTATTGACAGAAGCGTAAGCAGTTTCACTGGAACTTGCAACTTTCCAAGTTCCAGTGAAAGCCGTGGCGTAGTGGTAACGCACTTGCCTCAGAAACGTAAGATCCGTGGTTCAAACCCCACCTCTAGGCAAGTTTTGCGACAAAACTTGTTAAAACCACCAAGTTTCAACAAAAATTGAAACTTGGTGGTTTTAACAAGCTTGAATATTGCTTAAATTACTTCCGGGTTTGAAATATGGTTGAAAAGTATAGTCTTAATCGTCATTAAAGAATAATGATTTTCTTGCGTAATCTATGTTTTATGTTATGCTAATGGCTTAATAAATTTTGAGAACAAAGAGGCTTTGTGTTTAAACTTGATACAATTATGTATATAAATATATGAAATGTTTGATAGTTTTTGCATGTTAATCGTACATAGAGACAAAATAAACTGCAATAAAAAAGACTTTATAGATAAAATTGTTGGTATACTTGGTTTTGATACCAGACGACTTCAATTTTTGTTTAAAAAAAAATTTGATTTGCTGCTATAGTAGGTACTATAGCATCAAATTTTTTTAATGGCACAATGAATGTATATAGTAAACGCAGTAATCAAAAAAAAACATGCAACATTTATTTAAAACCAATTTTATTTCTTAAAAAAGAATTGGAGTCGTCTGTTATCAAAAAAAGACAACATTACATTACGGCGTACTAGTTCGCTGTTATTTATTACGGCGTCCTGTCCGTTCCTGACAAATTTATACTTTCTTCTTTGTTCTTCAAAAAAATATATATACTTTTTTTTCTTTCTTTATTGTATATATTTTTTTGCATATTTGATATAAAAATGAGAAATGCCATACAAAAAACAAATTGTTTGAGAATATTAGGCAAAAATAACAAATGCTTTGCAAGAGTACTACAACAAACAAAAACTTAAACGATAGGAACTTTTTCTTATAGATTTTTTTTTTTCAATGAAAATTTGAATTTTTTTATTTAGATCAAAATTTATTGCAAAAAGTTTACAAAACATTTTTTGACATAATAATGCTATAGCCATGTAAAATTTACATACCTTATTAATTTACATGCTTATTTAATATAATATTACTATTTACAATTTTTTAAAGATTTTCAAGAAATATAATTATTTTAAAGTCTTGTTATATTATAATACCTTGAAATATTTTAAAATTTAATATTAAAGCGTTTGACGGTAAAATACAACTTTAATATTATACTAGTAACATACTGTTATTTATTATTATTTATTATACCAGTAACTGGTAGCAACAAGTAAAATACTGTTACAGTTGAATCTCTTTAATTCGAATTTTATAGGAGAAAACAAAAGTTCGAATAAAAGAGATTTTTGAGTTATGAAAAGGTAATTTCCGACTGTGACGTTTCCCGTTTATTCAGCATTTAATCGTATTATGGAAGTTTTTGAATTAAGTAGATTCGTATTAGTGAGATTGTACTGTAGCAATTATTAGTATTTTTTGTACTGTAGCAATTATTAGTATTTTTTTTTAAACACTGATAACAAATAATATAATGCTTTAAACATTTGTAAAACTATTATTTAAAACTTTTGTAAACATTAGTAAACTAATAATACTAGAACAATGATATTACAATCTTTTAAAATACGGTCAAATTTTGTTAAACTAATTGCTTTTGTTAAACTAAAGAACCAAGGGGAACAACTTAGTTAAAACAAAGTTTTAAAGCAAAAGATTTAAATATTAAGTTAAAGTCCCAAGAGTTGATTTTAAGTTTTTAGTTGTTTTACACTGCTTTGTGTTTGAGTTGACTTAACGAGGGAAAACTTTTAATCCTTTGTCTTTCGTCTATAAGTTTAATTTTGCTTTACGTGATTTATGGACAATCCCTAATATAGTGTTTTACAAAACTCTCATTAAAAAATGTTTTAAAAATGTGTGCAGCTGGTTGCTGGGTTTTGAAAATTTGTATAAAAATTTAAAAAACTAAAAAAATTTAATAGAACCTTTAAAATCTGTATGTCTTATTAAAGTTATACACTTCGGTAGTCCTCAGTTACGCCATCTAAAATTAATTTACACTTTTGGCGCTCTCGTTCGTGGAGACTATAAAAACATTTTATACTACTTATTATTATTAATAATATTATTAATATTAATATAAACATTTTTTTTTATAAATGATAATGCAATTGTAATAATTAATTTATAAGTTATTATAATAAATATCTTTTGTAAATATTTAAATTATTATTTTACTGAAATGCGTTTCTACACTCTCGACCTTTTTTTAGAAGCAAATATATATATATATATATATATATATATATATATATATATATATATATATATATATATATATATATATATATATATATATATATATATATATATACATATATATATATATATATATATATATATATATATATATATATATATATATATATATATATATATATATATATATATATATATATATATATATATATATATAATTGTTTTAGGCGGCTTAACTGAAGACTGCCCTTACTTTATCCTGATCCTTGATAAAAATAAAGTTTAAATAACTAAAACAATTAGAAATTTACCCCATTTTTCTGTAACGCTTTTATACATCCGGCATGACATGGCGAATAAAACGTTTTTTGGTCGTTTATTGAACACACGGGTTTGTAAACATGGTTATTACAATGGCAATTTATGTTGCATGTACTATTCAATGAAATCGAAGCGTTGCTAAAAATATTAATTACCAAAAAAACAATTAAAAACTATACATAAAACACTTTATAATTGCTGTGGACAATATTAATAAAAATAAAGCTATTTTTGATATAGCGAGTAAAAACTGACATAACAAGTAAACTATTTCTTTTAAGAAGAGATATTGTAATTTCCGTGTTCTTAAAAATCAATAATAGCACTTCAGTTTCCAAACTCGAAATTTCCATATATATAAAGGTTTTGAAAAAGATCTTAAAATCAATTTGTTTTTTATATACCTGTACTACTATGGTACTGTATATTTTTTTAGATAGTACGCGTTTATATATATTATTTATATATTTATATACTATGTTTAACTAATATATAAATACATACTATCTAAGAAATATACAGTCAAGGAGGAGAAGGGGGTGACCCCCCCCCTCCTCAATAATGATTTTTTCGTTCATTTAGTCGGCAAATGTGGAGCCTTTTGACTAGTTAGTCGGTAAACTTAGACAATCAGTCGGCAAATATCATTAAGGCAGTCGGCAAATTAAAAAAAACGAGGATCTTTTTTTTTTTGTCGACAAAAGTTGTAATGGCACCCCCCAGGTGAGACCTACTTAAAAACCCTAATTTTTTCATTAGAAGACGTATTATGTTATTATTAATAATATAAATTAATAACTTTGCCTTTTCTTATTTATATTTGTAAAAAGTTTATTCTTACTTATTTTGTTGATTTTATATTCTTTACTTAACGTATACGTTTATATAAAATATTGGTGAGTAGATCCGCGTGATCTCTCTTTGGATTATAAAATATATATTTGGATTATATATATATGAAATTTGTAAAAATTTGATACTGTTAATGCTTGTTTGAACTTATTTAAGGTTCTGACGACAAGATCCTTTGATCTTCTTTCAGATACCTTATTTTATATTTGTGAAAGTTTATTATTATTATCATTATTTTTATTTTTATTTTTTTTTTTGGTAATATATAGTTGTAATACGACCAACAAATGTAAAATTAAAAAAAAAAAAAAAAAAAAAAAAAAAAAAAAACTTGCGCCGGCCCTTTATACAGTATACATATTTACATAGTATCTGAGCTAGATACTATGTATTTATATATACTGTGTATTTCTTAGCTACTATGTATTTATCTATACTATATATTTCTTAGTATGTATTTATATACACTTTATATTTCTTCCCTATTCACCTTGTAGTCTCATACACGAAAAAATACTGTATATGTCTCTGGAATTACAACACAAAGATGAAAAGTATTCAAATTACAATCACATTTAATAAAATATATATTCTAATCTAATAAAATATTAATTCTTAAGACTAAACATTCAAATAAAGCTTCTTGGGAGAGGATGTTGAAGTTGGAATATCCATTCACCTTTTGTAGCATTCTAGTTTTTAGAAGAAATGAAACAATTGTTATACAATCTTGTTCAAAAAGAGTGGATTGATAGTCTATAATATCTATAAATTAAAACTCTCGAGGCTGCATAATTTCATTCGACTGCTAACTAAAGACATCTACAACATTATATTTATGTTAAATAAGTATAACATTAAAAGACTATTATAGTTAAATAAGTATAACATTAAAAGACTATTCCCAGGATTTCCAAGTAGAAATACAGATAGAATTTTCTTTTCAGACTTGACGCCGCCAATTAAATAGTTCTGGAACTTATACTCAAGCCGTGTCCTGGTTCTGTTTGTCTCCTTCATTTCTTTCTTAACTTGTTTGTAAAACATCTTTTCCTCTCTTTGGCAATATTTAAGCCCTTCAAAATATCCTCAGCTTTTGCTACCTAGTATAATTTTAATCTTCTTTTCCTATTGGGCCTTTAAAAGTTTACAATATAAATCAGGCAGCTTAACCATGTTAAAGATGTCAATTCATTTTTTTAGTCTCAATAATTTGGGGCTCGGCGATAAGACAAAATCTACTTCTACTTGCCCTGGCAGAGTTTTTATTTATAAACTTTTAAATAATAAAAGGTATTAATCGGCGATAAATATACAAAAAATAATTTTGAAAGTGAAATTTTATAGCTTTACGGCTTTTATAGTTTATTAATTTTGTTGTAGCGGCTTGGGGTCAAGAAAAGGAATTGAGCAATTAAAATCAATTGACCAGAGTGTTGGTAGCTGGTTTTGAAAATTTATTTAGTTATTTAATAATTAAAACAATTGTTTGAGCTCTTTACAAATTGTAGAAATTTGTAACTTTTTTAGAACAAAAAATGCGATATGTGAAATATTTATCTAATTATTAATTCTAATATAGTATATTAATAGTATAATAATATAGTGATATAATAAACTATTATATCTAATATAGGGTAAAACGGGCGATTTCGCCACTTTTAATATTTCAAGAAAAAGATGTTAATCTGGCAAAACACCATATTAAGATGATATAAAATATTTATTGTTATAAAATTATAACCTTATAAATATTGAGTGATTATAGTTGCCACCTAATTTGATTGGTTGTTGTAAATGTTAAATGAGATTTGCTGTTTAATGTTAGTAAATAAAATTATCGCGTCACTCTTGCTCCAAGTGACATTATCATTAATTTTGATAAAAAATATTTACTTTATAATTTAACTTAAAAATAGTTTTCTAAAATTCTCACAAATTTTTCAAATTGACATTTGTTCCAATAGAATGCATTTCTTATATTCGCATTTCTTATCATTAAATGCTCACCATCGCAGATTGTTTATAGCCACTATAGTCGGAGAGAATTACGAGTTAACCCAGACAAAAATAGTATACAGCTGAAATTTTGTAAAGATCAAGTAGACAGTTTCTGGATGAGCGTAAAAAAAAGCCCCGTTGATTGCGCAACGGGAACATTCCTTTTGGGACAATTTGGGGTAAAAAAAAAGGGTCAATTTTGAAACTACATAGGTTGCAAAAGAAATTTCATCACGCATTGTTGTTGCCGATGATTTTTTTTTATCATGAAAGCAAGAAAAAACTCTGGAGTATAAAAGATTTTAGAGAATAGATTTTATGCATGGTCAGAATGTGACTCGACATCTTCATTAATGGGGAAAGGAAAACCTAGTTTTTAAAATTACTGCAAAAATCGAATAGTTTACAATCAGTATCTGAATATATTTTGGATTACTGGGCAACCAAAAAAGAATTTGGAGAATCTGCTGTAAAGGCTTTCGTTGAACTTTTTGGTGGAAATACAGAATCTTCGTTAAGGAAAATGCGGTTGGTATCTGAAATTTTAATTTTAGTTTTTTGTCATTCATTTAGATTGAGAAAATTTAGATTTAGATTGAGAAAATAATTAATTAAATAGTATTAGGGGAAAGTGGGGCAACATGGCGAACGTTTTGAAAGCCCCAAGTTGTTGCAAAACTATAAGTCGTGAAGCCATAATACTTTCTCAGTATATTTATGTTATTAAATTCTTTCATTGCCTGCATGAATTTTCAGTTTGCAAATATAACAATTTGAAATAAATATTAAAATAAAAAGTCATAAATTTGTCATTTGGTCACGTGACCGGGGCAAGATGACTTGTTATGCCATTTTTACCTCCAATTTTATAAAATTTTTAAAACTACCAATAACTCTAACTAAAAAAATAAACACAAATTGCAAAAAACTACTTCTAAAGAAGTTAAACTTGAAGGGAACCATCCATTATGAGAAACCGAAAGTTAGGAATTTTTTTTTAGGCGCTAAAAGTAAACTTATGTGTATAAAATTGTGTTAATAATATTTCAAAAAGCCATTTAGTGTTTTAAAATACAAGATGCAAATACAGTTTCGTTTTCACCCAATTTTAAGATTTTTTGTTGAGTTGTTATATGAAAATCCATCTTGCCCCATTCGCCATGTTGCCCCGCTTTCCCCTATTTCTTAGATATTTGAAATATAAACAAATGGTTTATGAAGGAATTATTAGACCGGAAAGTTACCACCCACAGATCGTGCTGCTTATTTTTATGGTCTTAGAGTTCATCTCCAGGTTATTGAATGGAAAATGTTAGATGAATCTTTCAACTTAGATCCAAAAGAATGGGGATAGAAATTAGATACTGGTTGTTTTCTTCTAATACCAACAGACAAAGATGTGGCACCACCAAATATATTAAAAGTGATTGTAAAACTTTGTCAAGAAATATGTGCGGAACTAATATGTGTTCTTCCAGGAAAAACGGATTGAAATGTCTGCATGCGGTGGCTGTCACGGGCAAGACTGCAGTAATAAAACAGTAAATTTTATTTTTTTAATATATTATATGCACATAATCTTCTTAAAATATATTAGTTGTTTTTGTGATACGATTGTTTTACATTTTAAGGATTTTAAAATTGAAGAAGATTCAAGTGATGAAGTTGAAAATGAGAGAAACTTATTTGATGATTTGTTTAAAAAAAAAGTAAAATATCAGACATTGACATTTTAAAGAAATTTACATAAAAATCTCAAAGTTATTTAATCAGAATATATTTCCTTTCACATTTTTTTTTCCCATTTAAAGTTACGCACAGACAAAAGTTATTATGCTTTGAAAACAAAAAAATATAGTATTTAAAAGGCTTTTACACTTTTCAAACGTAAATAATTAAAAAAATTATTGTTTTCAAGTCAAAGTTTTTACATAAATATTGATCAGCATAAAATTTTCTATCCAACGATATATAGTTTATAATATTTTGGTGCTGTCAAAATTGACCCTTTTTTTTTTACCCCAAATTGCCCCAAAAGGGATGTTCCCGTTGCCCAATCAACAGGGCTTTTTTTTACGCTCATCCAAAGACTGTCTACTTTCTCTCTGCAAAATTTCAGCTTTATACCATTTTTGTCCGGGTTCGACCCTACTTTTCGCTAATTCTCTCCTACTACTATTTTGATTAGCGTGTTTAAAATACACCAATATAAATTTAAGCATTGATATTTAAAAATATAGTTATTATGCCAATCAGTAATAATTGTCTTGTTGCATTTTCACCCTAAGTGCCAAAATCTAGAACTTGCTGTATATTATCTATGTTTCAGATGGTACGCAAGTATCTCCCAAAGAAAAAGAAATCCTATAGTGATACCGATCTCTAATTGGCTATTCAAGATGTTAAAGATGGCGGTAAAATATTAACGACAGCAAAAACATTTAGAGTGCCGAGATTAACGCTGAAAGATTAGATAAATTAATGTCGATAATCAAGATCTGTGGGAGGAAAAACAGTGTTTAAAAAGCAACAGGAGCAAGCACTAGAAAAACAAGCTTTTTTACATGGCAGATCGTGGATTTCCATTGACAACAAAATGGTTTAGGTATAATGCTTATAATAAAGTATAATGCATTGATTACTTCTAAAAGATTTGTCCAATACATTGCATAAATCTCACTTAAATTACTCATTTATTTAAAAAATAAAAAATCTCTGAACGTGTTTTCCAATTCAAGAAGAAGAACAGGTTCTCCATCAAACAAAAAAAAGCAAGTGGCTTAAGAAAGAAAAGGAACTTTTGTCCAATCAAATAAAAGCACATGGCTCAACAAAGAAGAAATCTCATAGTTCAAAACCATTATTAAATCAAAAGTTACCTAGTACATCAAAAACTCATAACAGAAACAGTAAAAAACAACTCGCTGTGTGTGCGGTGTTGTATAAGTAGATTCATCAGAAGACTGGCTCAAATGCGTTTCTTGTCATATATCGGCATGTGAAGTCTGTTTTTGCATTGCCATGTGCACAGAATGTGCACAGTTTGTGAACTCGACAAATTATAACAAAGCTTTAACTCTTTTTACATTGGCGAAATCGCCCCATTAAAGACGAAATAGCCCCATAAAAGGCGAAATCGACCCATATAAGTGTGTAATACAAATCGGTGTTTATGAGTGTAAAAAAATTTTTTTTTGAACTTTTAAACGCGGTCGAACGAAGTATAGCTTATTCAATATTATTCAGTTAAAAGTATACCCAGCCATTATTTCCATTTTCTTATATTTTACACATAATAAATACCTTTTATCTAAAACGTATCGCAAATATTTTTTTAATTTGAAAAAAAAAAAATGCTGACTCAGCAAAAAAAGATAAAAAAGTTAACGTCCCAAGAACATAAATATCTTAAGATTATACCAATATTAAAGGTTGAAATTTTGAAAAAAAATAGTATATTAGTGTAGCTTGTGCCTGAACCAAAAATTAAAACAAAGACTTAATAGTATAAAAAACTGTTTTCAGCGATAAAACACTTATTTGATTTGGTAATTGTAGGTTAAGTTTAATATTTTTTTCAATTTTATTTTAGGTTCAGGCACTAAAAACATTAATAATGAGCATATCCTGAAAATTTGAAGCTAAAAAAATGTTTTTTTATTGAGATATCATTGTTTTCCTACAGCTTCTCATAAAAAAAACAAAAATTGAGAAAAATCAGTTTTAGAATTAATTATAATCATATAATTAAAATTATAATCATGTACATAAATATTTGAAAAGAATATTATTGATATTCTAAAATTATTTTTAAAAATTTTTACTATTGAATTCGACAACGTTCAATTGTCTAAATAACATTGTTTCAAAATTTTCATTTTTTTTTTCATTTTTTACAAAAATAATGGCTGGATACCACCTTGGTATACGGAAAAGTGTATCAGGTTGAACAGATAACATTAAAGCAAAATCAATTTTTTGTTAAATTTGCAATTTATATTTATTTTGCAATTAATATAGATTTTTTTATATTAAAAGTATATAATACATGTATATTAAAGTTTGTCAAATTATTTAGTATATTGTCGTGCTGGTTCAACAAGGTTCGATCTGAAATTTTTAATATTCAGAGAATTAAGTAAACATGCATTTTTTTTTATGTCTAATTAAAACTATTTATATTATTGTTTATTTGTATTTTTATTATATATTAAGTACAAAAGTACTTAAATAAATAAAAAATAATGATTTTAATAACATATTTAAAAAATAAAGAAAAAGAATTGTTTGCTAAATTCTCTTAAGATTAAAATTTTCAGTAAAAACCTTGTCAAACCAGCACGACGATATGTGTTTCAAGTACAGACTCAAAAATTGTCAAAACATTTATTAAGTAGTACTTAAACTAAAAATTCATTCGCGTTAAATAGAATTGCAACTTGTTTCCGCCGAATTGTCTGCAACGAACTAACCTTAATAATTTATCTTGTGACAAAAAATTAATTTTTTTTTTAAACTTAAAAGATTTTCAATTTAGAAATTAAAAATTTATTGATTTCAAAAATCAGGTTTTATTTAATAATTTTTTTGTTTGTTTGTTTTTATATAAAACATAGTTCGGTTCAAGTTAACTTACTGTCAAATATGTATTACGGGTACGGGTAGAGTTGTCGAAATTGGAGAACCTAAGGAATAAATATTTTTTAATCAAAGATGGTTTAACAATGAAATAATTCATGCTTTGATTAATACAAACAGACAACTACATTTTTAAACATAGTTTGACTTAATCAATGCACTGTTATTGGAAATAAACGCTAGTTTGTTTTGTCAAGACACCATTTTGTTCCAATAAAGCAACCGGTTTCCCAAATTGGAACACTTAGATTCCTCAATCAAAACAGCAAAATTGTTTTTATGTTTACAGGTCTTATCCCAAACATTGCAACGCTTTGTATACAGTATTATCTTTTAACGTGTTCAGACGTATATTTACATATAATTGAGAAAATCAATAAGTTTTAATTAATAAATCCACTGATTTAGCGATAAGTGCAACAAAATGTAGGTACCTAAGATCTTTAGGCAGACAGTTTATTATTTTGAAAACTTTTTTTTAAAGTTGTCTTTTTTAACTTTATTAAACATGGACATAAATTATGGAAAAAATTAAAATAAACCAAGCGAGGAAAGATCTAGAATTTTCTAGCATTTAAATAAAGTAACTCAAACATTAGGTGGTGGTCAGGGAGAGAGTGGTGGTCAGCTTGGCGGTTAGCGTATTGTTGGTCGTGGGTAACATGTTACTCATAAACATCATTACGCTAACCGTCAAGACGACCGTTACGTTATGCTAATTTCTAACTTTACAGATAAACAATTAACTTTAAAATAATTTTATTAACAAATTTGCGATTAATTTTAAAGATTAACGGTTAACTTTAACGATTAACTTTACAGATAAACAATTAACTTTAAAATAATTTTATTAACAAATTTGCGATTAATTTTAAAGATTAACGGTTAAATTTAACAATTAACTTTATAGATAAACAATCAACTTAAAAATAACTTCTTGAAAATTGATTTTACCGTAAAACGGAGTGACTTTGATAGGTTTTTTAGCATTTTTGCAAAAAAACTCTTTGTTTTAACAATTTTTTTCTGATATAACATTATACCATTATATAATTTCTGATATAAATTATACCATTCCTTCTTAGGATTTCATTATTTTATTTTTTTTTTTTTTCATTTCTGGGCGTATTAGTTTTTTTTAAGTACAAAACGTTATCAATTTCACCCCTTCGTTGGGGTGACTTTAAAAATCTATTAATTTCTTATGGCTTATTATTTTAACCCTCTTCACTAGTGTCATAAACACTTTTTTTTGAAGTTTTAATAAATTAGGACACAGTATACAAGCAAATTTATAACATATTAATGGTAAAATTATCAATTTAGAAAACAATTTCGTTATCGAATACACCACAAAATAAACAAAAAAAACAACAACAATTTAATGTTAATATGCTAAACATAGCAATATAATATATTTTAATATATCTGTATATAACATAAAAACCAATGTTTGAAATACTAGATACTAATGTTCTATCTGATGAGGCATATCTGATAAATTAAGCACACTTTATCAAAAATTTTCACATTTGCAAACTGTATCTGATATATTAAAGAGTATATAACTAATGAGAATAACTGACAAGTGGTATATTCTAGTAGTATTATAACTGGAATGTACTACTTGAACATCTAAATTCGGATTTTATAAAGCAACTTATCCCGAAAAATTAAATTTAAAAGATTTAGGGCATTTTTCGGTGACAAGTGTATATTTCGGTAAGACAAATTTGTTATTTTTGTTGTTTGAGTCAGATTAATCCCAAAGCATTGGCACGAGTTAGAATTACTTAACAATCATTTTAATTTCAAAAAAATACACAGAATATAATTATATAAGTGAAAAAAAAAAGAATTTGTTATTTATTTTGCAACTACATTTTAAGGTCGATATTTTTGTAACAAACAGGCGAAACTTGAAAGACACCTTCATTATCAAAGTCACCTCTTTTTACGGTATTAACTTTAACGCTTAACAATGAATTTTAAAACTTCTTTACCTGCTATCGAGGTAAGGAACTGCTACCCCCACTACCTCTTGTTCATCACAGCCAATCAACACAATAGGAATAAATATAGTAGACATGATAGCAAAAACGCATATAACTTTTAAAGTTTTTTGACAATCCCACCCAAAACGTTTACTCAAGAAGCCACCTAAACCGATTCCTCCACCACAGGCTTAAAAAAGTTTTTATCAAAAAAAAAGTCAACAAATGTTTATATTAAAGAAACTAACAAAAACTAACTAGATGAAAGTAATTTTCTTTTATGGTTGAGCACTTACCTGGCACGACTATCAACCCACTATACAACGATGCTTTAGATGCAGAAAAATGAAACTGAGTCTCAACAAACTTTGAAAAGAAAGTGGAAAATCCACTATTTACGAAGCTCTCGCATGCAATTCCTAAGGTTAAATACATATATGGTGTGTTTAATAGTAAGCATTTTATTGATGGCCACACGGATTTTATATCATATTTTAATATTAAGTCTCCTTCTATTGTATCTAAATAAGACTTTTTGAGTTCAAAAACTTTATTTGAGTTTATAAACATTTTGGGAAAACCAGAAAACGGAATAACTGTTGTTAGTAAAAGTAAAGCTCCAATCATATAACCAATCCACCAAGCGCCAACCCAGTTTAGATCGTTTGGCTTTAGATTTGAGTTTGGTGGCTAAATTTTAAAATATCATCTACTATTCAAACTATCTTTTATATACATAGTTATTCAAAATGCATCAAAATATTTTTTGAACAGCACATAATTGATAAAACATACCTGTTGTATATCTACATAAGTTCTTAGTATTGGACTTCCCAGAATATATCCCGATGCGGGACCTAATATTGACATCGTTTTCATTGCCAAAAAATACATGCTAGAAGAACTTCTGTCCGTGATAGATTCTAAATGAGCGTAGCTTAAACTTTGCACAGGAATATTTCCTAATCCGCTGATGGAATGTCCAATTAAAAATATAGCTAAATACAGATGATTACTAGGTGGTTTACACGCTGTGATATTAAATGAAGTATTTGTTGGCACATTTAAATGACATAGATCAGTTGATTGTGGTTTTCTAACTTCATATTTTGGCGAAATAAAATGAGGTATTAATAGTACAAACATTCCAACGGATAGGGTCATTCCCCCAACAGCCAATGCGCGCGGCCTATGTTTATGACCAACATAACATACTAGTGAAGAAAAGAATCCGACCGTTGCGTTGAACATTGTGGAAAACAAAGCAATTTGGATAGTAGTAAAACCATAGCGTTTTTCTATAGAAGTTAACAAAACATTGTTAAGACCATTACATACTAAACCTTGTGCAAATGTTAGCCAGCAAACACATATTAAGAAAAACTGAGGACGGTTTAAACTCTGTAAAAACGCTGGACGATAAGAGAACCACCCATAACATAAATACTTGGCGTTTATATCTTTGTCATTTAGCTCATGAAACATTCTAAACTATTCTTATCCTATGAGATAATAATTTTAAAATCTTTAAAATTTTTGCGCAAAGTTACTTCGTCTAGACTATATATTTTGTTTTTTAACTTTTGTTTTGTGTTATAACTACAGGTTGAATTAATTATTAATACCTGAAAATAAAAATAAATTTTATTATTAAGTTTTTTTTGATAGAAAAAAAAATTTAATATCAATTTACATAACAGATGCTCTTACGATAAAAATTGAAATTACACATCCTCTGGTTCAAGTGTTTTGTGGTTCAAATTTTTATCGTTAGAGCATCTGTATATATATACCCCAGTAAGCACAGATCGTTTTTAAAACGTTTAAAAACGCTAATATTCGTTTTTTTAAGTTTTTAAAACGTTTTAAAAACGTCCTGTGCTTACTGGGACATTCAGTGCTTTTTTTGGACCGGAACGGCGTCTTTTTTTAAAATATATAACCTTTTTTTTTTCTTTCGTAATATTATATAAATGAACTTAGTTCATTTTTAAATATTAAACATATTAATCCAAAAAAAATTGTATTAAAAAAATGTGGGTTGTAAAGTAACACATATTTTGCAGATTCTGTACGACGTTTGTCGAAATATCTCATATTGCTTCATAATGATTTTTTAGAACACAAACTTTACGCTATTTGTGACAGTAATATAAAAATATCGATTAAACTAAATGACACAAAACTAAATATGAAAAAAATTATCACTTGACCCTCCGGTTCATAAAAAAAAATTAAATTAAGTGCAAAAGAAATAGAAAAAATCAAAATGACAACTTCAGATTTACCTTATGCAGACAATTACACTAACTGCAGCTAGTCAAGTTGCGAGTTTTGATCCAAAAACAAGTGGCTCTGTTTTTGCAAAAGCTTGGCTGCATTACCTGGCAAAAAGTAAAATCACTTGGTGTAGCTTTTATCGGAATAAAAACATCAAAAGAATGGTCAAATTATAGAGTTTCTCATTATGGTAAAGATAGATAGCAACAAGTAAGTTTGATACGTAAGAAAATACTCGGTTACAAAAAATGGGGAGTTCAAGCTGCATTAAAGATAACAGAAGAAGTTAAAAAAGAGACTCTTTTAAAAAATATTTTAAAGTCTTTAACGCGTGAGAAAATTGTACAAGCAAGCATTTTTAGAACTGCATAAAAAATTGTAAAACAATATTTACAGGTTCCTGAAACTAAAAGTTTTTTCGAGTACTATTTTCATCTTTATAAGCGTCAATTTTTTCAAAATTAAAGTTAGAAAATAAAATTGTGTCAGAGTTGGAGCATTCATCTGGAGCATGCCATAATCCTTGATAAAATTTGAATTATATTTGGCTAAAACAAATGTCTCATGTCCTAGTTGAAATACTGTTGTTTATAGATTCCTCTTCATTCAAAACAACTAGTTCATCATGTTTAAGTTCATGAAAAACAGCTTCAGATGCCGAACAGCAGCTCGGAGAAAAACTAGCATTTGTTTTGCGTATGCTGGTTAGCATTAAAAGAACTCATCACTGTAGTAATATCTGCTTCAAAAAAAACTTTATTCGGATTGTTTAGATTTAAATGAATACAACTACCACAATGCATTGCGAATTAATGATTTGAAAGAAAGGTCTATTGCTTATTTTTTGACATATAAAAAAGGTAGGGTTCCGTCACCTTTTTTTATAAAAAAAGCACTGTATTCATCTATGTATATATATATATATATATATATATATATATATATATATATATATATATATATATATATATATATATATATATATATATATATATATATATATATATATATATTTAGAATTTGTATAACTTACCATAACGTAAAATAAATTTTATATATGTGTGTTTGTGTGTGTGTGAATAATATTACTGATAATTTACAAAATAGAGATGTTTTTAATAGAACAGACCAATAAATTAGTAATAGCTACTGCGCTCCATATTCTAAATGCGAATGCTCCACGTTTGACATCATTTTATGACATCATTTGCTACTGCCAACCTTTGTGGTTAAAAGTTTAAAAAATTTAAAGAGTATTTTTTTGATCAGTATACTTGATACTACAAATCAGAATAAAATAAAAAAATCTTTTTTTATTTATTTTTCCATTCAACAAATTTCTATTTGAATAGTTTATTCAATTTACGATTTGTTATTGATAATGAAGATTTTAGCGAGGGGCGCCGTTTTAAAAAGAATTTAAAAACAAATGAAAAGCTCGCAAAATTATTTATCATGAAAAAAAAATATTATCGCAAAACTAATTAAAATTTGATTTTAAAATTTGCATAATTTAAAAATAAAAATGATATAAATTAATGTTTATTATACTATTATTCTTTAACTATATTTTTATATAGATTTTTTTATAGAAAAATAATATGAAAGTTATATAACAATCGCAAATAAGTTTTATTTACGCAAAATTCGAAACCGATGAATTAGCGTTCAAAACAAAACAACACCTCTGCACCTTTTTATAGTTAAGGAGTTTTAAGGCTTGATAATTGATAGTAAATCCAACCCCTTCAAACTATTAGTGGGACAAAATTAAATTTTCTGTTTCAAAAAGATTATCTGACGTGATGTATTAACAGAAAAAAATAAGCTTTTCTTTTACTCAGGTAAAGGTAGAAAAAAGTAGCGTTTAAATTTGTTAAATTTAAAAAATGATTTAAAGCCGACGCTTAAACCAATTTTTATATTTTAATCTCTCTCCTGGGATATAACTAATTTTTTTAGCAATTAATCTAGCAATTACTTAGTTTAATTATTTTTAAATTGAAGAATATGAAAACTCGATGGATCTTTTGCATATTACAAATTGAACATAACAATAAATTGAATAATATGTTACTTAATTATTCTAGTCATAATTTAGGTCCCTCAATCTAATTTTCTTAACTGTATTTCTAGACAAAAGTACAAAATGATTATTAATTTTGTAGTAAATTTTTCATATTCTTCACTGTTTTGAATAAAAATTTAAATAAAGCAGACCAATAAGAAAAAAAAAAAAAAAAAAAACAGGGCCAGCTTCCTAAAATATAAATATAATTGTTGTTCAACTGAAGAATACCACTTGAACTGTGGACAGTGAGTTTCGCATTGATTTAAGGACCTTCAAAAAAAAATATTTTGGCTTCTTCAGAGATAATACTTAATAAATATAACTGGTACATAATGTCACTTACCGCACACATGGTTATAGAACATGGTTATAAATTTCTGATTTCTTTAAACTCCCGTAAGCTTTTTGTTCAGAAAAGGCTACAAAAGCACACAAAAACAACAACATTTGAAACGCAAGACTAAACCATACTTGTGAAGATTCGAGAAAAAATGCAATAAAAACCAATATCTTATGTTACATTGTGATCCAATAGTAATATCTTTAAGTTTGCTTCAAAATTTTTCAGCTTCAAAATTTTTCAGTTTTAAAATCTTTTCAAAATTCAAAATTTTAAAGCATCAAAATGACTAAATCTATTGGTGCCGTAACTTAGATTTAGAAATGTTGAATTTTTTGCTTGTTGAACAAAAAATATCTTTTAAATATTTGCTTCTGTAGCTTTTTTTTGTTGTTGTAGAAATTGTTAACCAACCTCTAGGGGCGGCCCGGTAACTAATGCATTCATAACAATGTGATAAAAATTTAACTGCGGCGAAAATGGAAAACGAAATTTTAAATTTTATTACTTTTTGTGACCGTGAAAATAAATATTTTACTATTTTACAATCAAAAGATCAAAAGATAAAAACAGTGTTAACAATAACATTGGATAATAAAATTAAAAGTCGTCAAATGTCGTATAATGATGTGAAAGTTAAGTTAACTTGAAAAAAAAATTGCGCTTATTTTTTTTAATTATTTTATTATGATGCGCAAAAAATTACTCGCAAAACTCATAATACGCGTGATAAAAATACTGCTTAGCTTATTTTTAAGATATTAGATATAAACATACGCTCTAAATAATAAAAAATATGTATATCGAAATATTTTTAAAAGTCTACTTTGAACACTTTTTTATACTTGTGTTAAGTCTTGAAAAACACTTCTTTAATTTTATTTATTCTAAAGACTTTTATTTCTATTTTCTTTTTTTTTATTATTAGTGTGCTGTATATGGGTGAGCAAAACCGGATATTTGGTCCGGTTTTCAAAATCGGATTTTAACAAACCGGATCGGATATCCAGTCCGATTTGTTAAAATCTGTACATGGAACTTCCAACTATCCCAGCTAACACACATATGTTGATAAAAAGTTAGAACAATGTTGTACGTTGCGTTGGCCCAACATTGGCCGCCAACATTGTTTTTATATCATATTGGTTACAAATGCGACGTCGCCAACAACCAAAAAACAACGTTGGGTTTACATCGATGTTTTTTAGATGTTTCTAAATACGTTGGACCAATGTAAATGTGTCAGCTGTTTTTAGTTCCGTCGGTATTAATTTCATCATTAAACAAATGACTTTAGATCAACGTTGATTTTGCATTGGAAAAAACAGCCGATGTTTCGATAGTTTTACATACGTTGGCCCAACGTAAGTGTGCTAGCTAGAATGGGTGAGTAAAACCGGATATCCAGAATAGACTAATTGAAATCACTCCTAGTTAAAACTTCTGACTTGAAAGTTTTAACTAGGTGAGTAAACCAGATATCAAATTCGGTTCGTTAAAATCCAAATCCAATTTCAGGACCAGATTCCCAATGTCTTCTATGCTGCTCGGCAGCGATTAGCGAATTTATTTGTAATAATGATGTTATGTAGTCCTCCGGTGGATTATGGGAAATTCTGCATTTGAAATTACGATCAATTTAATGAAACTCATGAATATGTCGTGGCGGTGAATTATGTATGCAAAGAGTTAATATTTGTAAATAGTTTATTTGCAGTCAGGCAGTCATATAATAATAATGAGTTGGTAAAAAAGTGAACTCATTCACTTTTTTACGAACTTAATAAAAGGAAAAGTATCAATAAATTGACACAAATGTTAAAAGCTCTGAAACAAAAAAGTAGAAACAAACATTTCAATTATTTTTTGTGAAATGATTCTTCTAAAATAAATATGCAAACACAATAAACAAATAAATAAAATTGGTGTTGTGGTTTTCACTCCTATGGTTTTTAAGTGGAACCATAGGAGTTGGAGTTTGAGAGCTGGATAACCAAGAAGCACCTTTAAAGCTCACTGCATTTTTTACGAACAGAGAAAAAAAAATATTTTATAAAACAAAAGATAAAAATAAGAAAAAGAAGTAGTAAAATAATAATCATAAAAAAATAATTATAAAAAAATTACAAATAATAATTATCAAAAACAATTGGTACAAAAGAATTCAAAGTAACCTAACCTTTCGTATGCTCACAAAACGGTACTACAACAGCTATGCAAATTTTAATGCTGTTAATTTCAAAATATCCTTTAATATGTACACAGCTAAAAATACTTGAATCGTCATTTAGATTGAGAAAATTAATGAATGGTTTATTCAGTTCTACTAAATTATAATTCGTGTAAAACTATTTTATCAGCTCAAAAAGTGTATACATTTTTTATCGACTAACTGTCAATTATGTTTTCATATGATGTTAAAAAATGACGAGTGCAAGTTTTCTATTTTCCGATTTGTTAATCTGAATAAGTAATCAATTTTATATGCATAAAAAATTTTAAAAATTAAAATTTTGTAATACAAAAACATATATAATCGTGTTAATATTTCTTTATCTTTTCTTTCAATTGATGATATTGTGGTTTATCTTCCGCCAGCTAGTAAAATTTATCCATTTGAAACTTTTATCAAAAATATATTTGTAGAAATAAATAAAGAAAATGAATCTTTATACGTTATTGGTGACATAAATCTTGATGCTCTAACTTATTCAAAAATATTTCCAAAAATAAAATCTTTTTTTGATATGCTTTTTAAATTTAATGTCTTGTCGACTATTAATAAACCAACGCGAGTTACAAAAATCTCAGCAACAGCAATAGACAATATTCTTGTTAACAATAATATGGACATGACATTTGAAACCGAGATATTTATGACAGATATTAGCGATCACTTTGCGATACATATAAAAGGAAAAAATATAAAAATGTCATCTGATTGTGAGCCAAAAACAATACATTTGAAAAAACACAATCTCAAAAAAAAGTAATAAATTAACAAACAGCCTAAAATAAGAAACGTGGATCAATATATATAGATGTGAGAACACTAATGAAGCTTGCAATATTTTTTTAAGTAAATTTATTAAATACTTTAATGAATCCTGTCCACAAGAGGTTATACAAATTAAGACAAAATCTATTGCTAATCCGTGGATAGATAAATCGCTGTTAAAATGCTCAAAAAAGAAGAAAAAACTTTTATAATAAAAGTCTATAATAAAAGTCTCTAAAAAATAAAAATGAAAAATTACAAATATTATAAATAATTTAACCAAATATTACTAAAAACGCTAAAAAAAAAGATAATACAGCTATCGAATTTTCAAATGCAAATTTGATACTAAAAAAACGTGGCCTGTCATTAATGACATATTAGGAAGGAAAAAATTAAGCTTGCCTAATTTACCTAAAAGAATTAATATAAACAACGCTGATATTTTCTGTCAAAAACAAATCTCTGAAGAATTTAATAACTATTTTATAAACATTGGTCTAAATCTTGCTAATAAAATAATTCTGATTCATTTCAAAAATAAATGATCTGATTCATTTCAAAAATACTTACAACCTTCTAATAACGCTGTCATGCTTGAATATGAATTTACCTATAATAAATTTGAAGAAACATTTTCTTCTTTAAAAAAAAAAGGCCCCTTGGTTTGATGAAATATCTAGTGATTTAGTTATTTCAAACAAAAACAGCCTAAGCAAACCTCTGACCCATATCCTAAAGCTCTCAATATCTACTGGGATTTTTCTGACGTACTTAAATTAGCTAAAGTAATTCCTATATACAAAAGTAATGATCATTCAGACATTACTAACTATAGACCTATAGCAATACTTTCAGTATTTCAAAACTTTTCGAACGTTTAATTTATAATAAAATCCATGATCATTTTACTAAAAACAATTTATTTTACCAAAATCAGTTTGAATTTCGAAAAAATCTTTCAACTGAACACGCAATACTTGAAATTGTAAATCAAATAATTGAAAGTTATCTTTGGAATAGAAAGCAATATGTAAATAATCCGCAAACTGGAGTTTTAAATGTTTTATGTGGAGTCCCTCAAGGATCAATTCTTGGTCCACTCCTGTTTCTAATTTATGTAAATGATTTTTGTAATGCATCTTTAAAACTGAATTCAGTCATGTTTGCTGATGATACAAATTTGTTTATTACTTACAATGATGTCAAAAAATTATATGCAGGTATAAATATTAAACTAAATAAAGTAAATAGTTGGTTTAGGGCTATATAATACTTCATAAAAAAAAAATTAGGAGGAAAACCAGATTTAAATTGCCAGATCTAATCTTAAATGAGAAATTAGTTAACAAGCAAACCAGTATAAGATTTTTAGAAATTTTGATTAATGAAAATTTATCCTGGCTTCCTCAAATAAAATATATCCAAGATCATCAAAACTGTTGGTATGATGTATCAAATTCGTTCATACGTCAATAAACAATGTCTCAAACTAATATATTTTGGGCTAATTCGTTGCTTTATCAGCTATGCAAACATTTCATGGGTAAGTACACAACCATCAAATCTCTGTAAAGACTAAAATGTAGAAATTAAATAATAGCAAAAACATTTGCTCAAAAATATAATCTTTTTTGTAATAAAAAGTAGAAAATAAACTTTTTAATTTAAATTTAATAGTTCAGTAAACTAAAGATTAACAGGTAAATATATAAATATATAAACCTTGTGCAGACTTGTCCATCTTTAGTTGACTGAACTATTAAATTTAAATTAAAAAGTTTTTTTTCTTCTTTTTAGAACAAAAAAGATTATACTTTTGAGCAAATATTTTTGCTATATTTTATTGTTATTAAAACTAAAAGTTATTCTAAAAAGGTTTCTTTATTTTCTACTGCTCATTACTTTTTTTGCTAATTCACATCGCTTATTATATGATTCCTATTGCTTATTTCCTAATTACCATTGCTTATTTCCTAATTTACAATGCTTTTTTCCTAACTTACATTCGCAATTAGGAATAAAACATCATCCCAATTCCCATTGCTTATTTTCTGATTTTATGACTTATTTACTAATTCCCATTGCTTATTTTCTGATTTTATGACTGATTTACTAGTTCCCATTGCTTATTTTCTAATTTTATGACTTATTTACTAGTTCCCATTGCTTATTTTCTAATTTTATGACTTATTTACTAGTTCCCATTGCTTATTTTCATAATCGTATTGATCAGCTGATTTTTTTTTTTAATTCTGTTAAGGTAATTATTTTAAAGGGAAACTAACCAATGTATTAATAATAATAAATACAAAATCAATATACTACCGATGCAAGGGTGCGTAAACTGTATTTGTTGTAAAAGACCTGCATGCATTTAATCATTAATCATTTTGGGAAAAACATTTAT